CAACATGACCGATCATTCCCAGTAAACTCGTGTGGTTTTTCAAAATTAAAAAATACAAACAATCGGCATCAAGGAACCGAACTGTTCATTCAAAGGAATTTATGGGAATAGTCCGTTACTCTTATTTATTGAATTTTGTAGACATTTGCTCAACTTTTCCTCAACCAAAAGTTCAACGGTCGGCTATAAGAAGTAACATATAAGACAACACCCGCTCCGACAAATTGCACATACGTTTTCTTTACATTCTGTAGCAAATTGAGAAAACGATAGAATGACGAGGTGAAGACATTCGAAAGAGGAGAAAGCTTATGACAATGGATTTCAATCTGTTATGTAATGATTCCAGAGACTACGAAACAGCGATGGGATTGGATGTTTTTTCTACAAATATGGCCCACCTTCTCTTGCTGCTCCTTTAACCGTGCGTTCTGATATCAAACAGAATGAAGGATTTTCAGCTCACCTTGGCGATAATGATTCGTTTATACTTTCAACGTAATGATGAGGGCTCTATTCTTGGATTTGCTTTTGGAAAACGCATTAGTTCTGGCTATGCTTTCCGCCTTAATGGACAAAGTCCCGTAGCTTGCCCTATCGAAGAGAGGTTTCCTCTGATTGCTATGTCTTTTTTTGGTAAAGGGAATGGTAATAGCAAGTGTGTTGGCTTTGAAGCCCTTGCACTTCCGAGTAATCCTTCTTCCTTCTACTTCTACTTCTACTTCTTCTACTGCAGCCCCTTCTAATGCTTTGCTAAAGTAAAAGATGTTGCTTCCTTCGGAAGTAAGAAAGTGAAAAACGATGACAGCAAAGATGCAAAAGAAGCCAATGACGGACCTGCCATTGCTGATAAGTCGTATCTGAAATTACTATCAAGAGACTAACCCTATCTTGAAGGTCTTTACTTGACTGTTTAAACAATTTTTTTTTAACTACAACCTTTAGCGATAGTTTATATTATGAATTTTTGTTTTTAGATATGTTAGATAGTGTTTATGTGAAATTTTTTATAAGTTAGAGCAGTATTCTGTTTTTGGACTTTTAAACTATACGCTAGCTTGCTTCCTTTGATAAACTTGGACGGCTATTTGTAGAAATCATGTACCATTGTTTTACGTTTCGTTTACAAAAGTAATGCATAAATTTATTTAATGATAGGATAACATGTAGTACGATCTCAAAAGCCGAAACCAGTCGAATCTTTTGGTCTGAAGATCCTGACTGTATATTGATGAATGCATAGTTTTTTCTGATATAATCAAGTTAATCTGTTTCATATTCCCATTCCAAACTCACAATTTCTGTATTGTGTTTTGTATTGTTTTTGTATTGATTTTTGTTTATTTTGTGTATTTTGTTGTATGATCGATGGTTTTTCTAGTTTTCTCTATTGATTCAAACTTTCAAAAACAACTTTGGTTTTATAGCTTATTTCAGTATACAAAAAAGGCAAAACAAAAAATCACGGTATGCTTAGGACGACATTATAATAAGGAACGCCAAACTCGATTTAGACGAGCCTTCCTCCGGCCACATTAGTACGCTAAATCTAACTTTGACAAAGCTAAACACTTTCTAAATAACATTATTGGATCCTTGGTATAGTTGCATTTTGTATTCCGGTCAAGCAATTTAATTTAGTCGAGACGAAGACATAGTAAAAACGATATAAGTATTGAATGATTTGTAATTAATATTCATTAAAAAACATTAGTTACGTTTGCACAGATGTATCAACTGGAATGGCTTTGATGATAATCTTTGGTAATACATGAGAAAGGGGTAACTGCCACTCCAAGATAGGTGTTTTGTTATCAACTCATCTGAGTGAGCGAAAATAACGAAACAAAACGAAACCAATCTAAGCCAGACTAAAGTTGTATAGTATAAAGAGTAAAAAAGGATAAAAATACTAAACTTTAATTACAGGTGTCTACGGCCATACCTAGGCGAAAACACCAGTTCCCGTCCGATCACTGCAGTTAAGCGTCTGAGGGCCTCGTTAGTACTATGGTTGGAGACAACATGGGAATCCGGGGTGCTGTAGGCTTCCTCTTTTATTTTTTAATTCCTTTTGCTCTATATTTTTGTGTGGTTTGATTTTTTTGGTTTTATTCCTTTTCGCAAGGTTGACTCTCTTCTAGGTTAACATTCAGTAGATGTTTCGATTCATCTGGTCTAAGATTACTAGAGTTATTTGGCTCACTTTAGGGTTCAAAAGGTATTGCGTGAACTGGAAGTTGATTTTCGCTCGTCAACTCGGTTCCTTCAACTGTCATGTCATAACTCAAAGAATAGACAGTGATTTTCGAAGTCCAATCAAACCCTGCAGAAACCGCTTTGGAAACTGAAGAAACCAAGTTTAAGAAGAACCAAAAGGCCAAGGCGATAAGAATAGCTGCTACACTGTTTTAAACCTTTTTGGAAGACTCCTTTAGCATATTATCTCATAGAAAAGGCTCTCCTCTTAGAAAAGGAAAGTGAA